CTTGATTGCTTCTCTATGCCTATAGCTCTTGATCTCCTGGATTCTAGATTTTACTCTCATCCTTCTCTTTTTCCATCTATCAGTTTTCAGTCCTTTGAGGCTTTTCATTTTTCCCTTTACATCACCTCGCATCCCTCTTTTGTGTGTCTTCTTCCTTTTTCCCAAAGAAATGCTTGGAAAATGTCCTGTCTTCAATTTTTTCTTAACTTTCCTCTTCACATATCCATCTTTCACATAACTGCAGTCCACTAATTTGCAAACCTTCCTTTGTCCATCCATTGATTCCTCAGTCCAAGACTCCTCCTCCTGGTCATTTTCCTTTATTTCTTGTGCGTCTAGCAATCCTTTATCAATGTCCGCTTTGCTTTTTATATCTATTATTTCTTCACGCGGTCTTTCAAATATGTCCTTAAACGCCGTTTCTATTGCTTGTTGGAATGTTTCCGCTAAGGATTCTTTAAATTCCTCCATCAGCGTGTTCCAGTCCCACTGTTGCTCCTCCTCGGTCTCCATTTTTTCCCCTTTTTCCACCTGCGCTGTTCTTAATTTAAAATGTTCTTTAGTTTTTGGCGCTCTTGTGACTTAAGATTCAGATATCTGTTTATTGTAAGTCCCGACAAAGCCATCATTTTTCTGTCCTTATCCCCTCTTCTTTAAAAGGAGTCCAATTTTCCCCCAGCCTTTTTCTAGCCACTCTCCCGTCATTTATGGGGCGATTACTGGGGATTCCTTTCAATTCTTACAGTTACTTTACTCAACAAAGTCAGTACAACTTCAGCTTACAGAACTTCTCTCTTTCTTATCGTGGTGTGTAGTTTCTCTTCCAATTAGTGGTTAAAAGCCGGCTGGTCGCTGCTTGTGGGATTCATGGCCGCGGCCATGTTCCCTCCTCTTCAGCGCTCCCGCATCGGGGCACAGCGCCTAGCCTCCACGATTCGCCGTCGCCGAAGACAGGCAAAGAAGCCCCCTGCTACTCCGTCTCCCTCAAAGAGACAGAGCGGGACACCCCCACACTGGGGGGGTCCCCGAAGAACGCTGAGGGAAGACGAATGGCTCGACGCAAGCCGAGACACGTCCGCTCGCGCGCCATACCAGAACCGGATCCTGGTTCAACACTCTAACCACACTTGACTTTATTATTCTAGTACTCTTGTCTAATTTTAGTAGTATATCCTTAAAATGCCTATCACTGTAATTCATTATTGTGCCACATCTTGCATGCTTATGACTTTTTTTTTGTATGCAAAAACAGTGTTGAAATACCCTAAGGCATAGAAACAGAGCCAAAAGGAATCTGACATCATTCTTCCATGCAGATTTTGATGGTGAAATAGTCTTCAAATAGTCTTTTGCAATGCAAATATTTAGAATACATATGAGAGCCAGCATTGTATAGTGGTTAGAGTGTCAGATT